TTAGCAAACGCTTTAACCACTAGGCTACCTACACCACCGCCCTCTATGTTAAATGAGATATGGTTGGTTAGATTGTCATGCTGGGGTTGCGTCCTGACATGTCTGCGCGCGGCGTTAAACAACAAACCAACCATCCAACCAACCTCATCATACACCAGCAGCATAATACATTGCTTGAAGCGTTAATTCCTGATTAATCACAGTCTGTCATGTTACTTGAACATCGCTGACTCAGTGTTAGACAACAAACAAAGTAATGAAACAGTAAATGAAAACACAGGCACAGTTTGTTTCACAGCCACATTTATTGTTCCATATTTGATAGAGTTGCAACGATACAGCAAAATCATGATACGATACGTACCACAACACCATGATCGATACACATCTTCACAGCTAATGGTGTGGACACTTCTTGATTACAATTATTTTAAATCAGGTACAAATGCAGATTTTGTTTTCAATGCTAATTGCAAATTGTTTTATAATTTTCTTTCCAAAGGTAGTTTTCTGTCATTTAAATTATATTTCAATTATATTCTTACAAGTTACCATAAAGCAAGAAGTAATTTCAGTGGTCTTTCCATGTAATCAGTATTTAATAAGAGCCTAGCAGTAACTCTCTAGACAGGAGCCAGGGCAGTGTGTGGTCATGTGACCCAAAGCATGTGCAGTTCATGCAACTCCAGCCACATGGCATAACAGTGGAAGGCCTCAAGGTGTACAGATGTGTTAACAGAGATGGTCTCTGGTGTAATGACAAGAGTGTTGGAACACAAATGTAAGTTTATTTCATGTATTGAGGTTATCTGTCAATTCTGAGGGTTGGAGTAATGAGTTATTTTGAGTATAGTATTTCCATCATGCTTATGGTTATTGAATAGGAATTTGAATTTAAAGTAATGTTTGCATTTCATTGCAGAAATAATTCTATTCTCAATTCATGTTTCATTTGAATTATTATTCAGCCAATGTAACTACTAACACAGCAGTAATTATGCCTTAAAGTTATGCTGCTGTAAGTAACTTGTTTCAGAAACTGTTTTATGGTATTGTTTGTCAAAGCATATTTAGTAAGGTATTTTTTGTTTCTTTTTTAGTTTCTGAACCTCGCCATTTAATGAACCTTGCCATTTAATGAACACTGGTCTATCTAAAGGCTAATGGAAGAGACCAGCTTTAATGTTACCAATTCATGGATTTGTGTAGTATTGTGCCGACAGTTTCTAACCGTCCCTTGACATGGACTTCAATGTCGTCAAGGTTATATTGCCAAATTGTCACCAGTACAACCAAATGCCACAACGTTAATAAATGAACATGACGAATATGCTCCAGTGAATAAACTTTTGTTAAATGGTGCGAGGTTTTCGTATTTGTAGTTCTTGCATCAACACTTAGTTCAGAAAATTTATGAAATTAAAGTATGAACTTGTGCACTATATGGACATTGATGAAATACATTGCATAGTGATATCATGTGGTTGTACATGTACTCGCATATTTAACTGAATGTTCAGTAGATATATTGACAGCTTTGTGCAAGTAATATTTGATCATCATGGCAGCAGGTGGCAATTTTGACAATATTGTGGTATCTGGTGACAATCCTGATGTTAAACTCGAGGATCCAGGTCAAACCACTGAAGAGGATCCAGGTCAGTTTCCATGAAGAGGATCCAGGTCAAGCCAATGAAGAGGATCCAGGTCAGTTCAAGCCAATGAAGAGGATCCAGGTCAAGCCAATGAAGAGGATCCAGCTCAAGACACTGCTGTTGCTGACACTGCTGTTGAACTCAGAGTGGTAATAATGGTGCTGGTGCAATACCAGGACGTGGTGCCCGTAAAAGACACTGACTGAAAAGGGTAAAGCAGAAAAGCTGCGCTTGATGAAAAATAAAACAGACTTCTTTGTTGAGGGCTATTACAAAAAGAGAAATGAACTTTTGAAACTTATGCAAAATGGTTCATGTGAGAGTTTGCATTTAGTCAAGTATAGTTACGTTGAGTATAATGACCTATGTTCTCAGTATGATGCCTCAGTTTAGCACCAATTACAGCATGTTGACATCAGAGTCTGATAGAGTTCGTGAGAGTGAACGTCATGAGGACAGAAGGGTTGCATGGGATGAATTTAGAGTTAGCGTGGATAGTTGGATAGAGAGGAGTGAGAGATTGTTAAGTGATCAGCTTGAGAGTGTATCCAGGGTGTCTGGGTCAAAAGTGTCAAAGTCTTTCCTCTACTAGGTCAACTAGGTCAGCATTAGCAAAAGAACGTGCTCGTCTAGCAGAACTTAACGCCCAGAAATCTATGCAAGGGGCAATTATGCAGCAACAACAAAAAACTGAAGAACTAAGATTGGATATGGAAATTGCTAAGGCCAAAGCCAGAGAGAAAGTGTTAGCAGAGTTTGAACTGACACCCTTGACTAATGTTAAAGTTGAAAACCCTCTATTGAGATTTATTCCTCCAGCTGTCAAGACTTTATACCAGCCTGCCGCTCCCAAAGTGACTTCGTCGTATCAGCCTCCAGCTGCCAACGTGACGTCATACCCATCTGCCGCTCCCTAACGTGACGTCATATCCATCTGCCGCCCCAACGTGACGTCATACCCATCTGCCGCTCCCAACGTGACGTCATACCCATCTGCCGCTGCTGCCCAACGTGACGTCATACCCATCTGCCGCTCCCCGTGACGTCATAACGTGACGTGACGTCATACCCATCTGCCGCTCCTAACGTGACATCATACCCATCTGCTATTCCCAACGTGATGTCATCTTACCCATCCACTGATCCTAACATGACACCATTCGTGTCGTCAGTTACACCATCACCTACATCGCTGCCACATAACCAGAAGTGCCTAAATTCAAAGGTGATCCCTATTGACTTTATCACATTTATGATGGCTTTTGATGCACGAATCGTGCCCAATACCGCAAGGGATGTTGATAGACTCTATTACCTTGATCAGTTGCTAATTGGGGAATCTAAGGATTTGATATCTGGATGCTTGTATATGGAACCAAGTGAAGGTTACCGTTCAGCACGGTTACTTTTGAAGAAACATTATGGCGATCCTTACAAAGTATCAAATGCCTATGTTAATCAAGTCCTGTCTTGGCCATCCATGAAGAATGATGATTCCAAACAACTTCGACGATTTTCCTTCTTCCTAATCAAATGTAGTCATGCAATGAAAACCATGTCTCACATGGCGGTCTTAAATCATGCCCCAAATCTGAAGGCTGTCATTAGCAAGTTGCCTATGTTCCTACAGAATAGATGGCGAGACCAGGTGATCACACTACGGCTGAAAGGGAGAGAGGTTGCTTTCCAAGATGTAGTGGACTTTGTCCATTTTGCAGCAGAATCAGCCAACGAACCAGTATTCAGCAAAGAGGAATCCCAGAAATGTGAAATTACTTCAAGAAGTGGGTTGCAATCTCGTTCAAGTAGACAGAAGTCGACAAGCTTTGCTACAAATGTATCTTCACCTAGAACATTATCATGCTATTACTGTCGCAAGAATCATGATTTGGATGATTGTCTTGACTTTTTACAGAAATCACTGGATGATAGGAGAAGTTACCTGAAAGAGAAACGGATGTGCTTTGGGTGTTATGGATCCAACCATTTTTCCAAAGGCTGTGGAAGGAGAAGACAATGTAAACGGTGTGGTAAGCGTCACCCTACTGCCTTGCATGATGACAACTATGTAGCGTCACAGAACCAGTCAATTATAGGCAGTCTTTCAAAAGACGTGGCCTCTACCAATACAGTCTCAGCATCTTGCAATACAAACCTGGACTTGGGAGAAATAGTTCTTCAAGCCATCCTTCCAGTTTTTGTCCATCAGAAAGGTAAAGACACATACATAAAGACGTATGCTCTTCTGGACAATGGTAGCACAGGATGTTTTGTCACTGATAATCTGGCTGAAGAGTTAAATGCATCGTCAACCGCTTCATTGTTGAAACTGAAAAACCATGCATGGTGTAAATACAGTCAATACATCCTCAGTAGCAGACCTCATTGTGTCAAACTTAGATGGCCAGAACGAGATATGCCTACCAAAATGTTTTACCAGGGAAGATATACCAGTGAGCCACAATCAGATTCCAAATGCAAATGTTCTGAAACAATTTCCTCACCTGAAGCTGGTAGCAGATGTGTTGCCAGACTTTAGTCCATCCACTGATGTCGGTCTCTTAATCGGAAGCAACTGCCCTGTAGCACTGCAGCCCCAACGTATAGTGCCAACTGACGGAGAAAGCCTGTTTGCTGTACTGTATCAACTTGGGTGGACAGTTAATGGCCCTGTTCATGTAAAGTACAACCAAGGAGACAACAACCTTACCTGTAACACAGCCATCCTTCATGAGGTAACCAGGGTGACTGAATGTCCCACTCCAGATAGAATCCTCAAAATGTTTCAACTGGACTTCAGTGAAAAGGACCATGGTAAAGGACCTGGCGATAAAGGCAACTCCAGAGAAGATGACCAGTTTCTTAGCATTGCCAAACAGAACATGAAGTTTGTAGATGGACATTTTCAGCTCCCCCTGCCATTTAAAGACAAGGAGGCACAAACAGCAAATAATCGAGAGCAAGCAACGAAGCGAGCAAAATGGCAGAAGAAGAAAATGTTGGAAAATGATCAGTATCACAGGGATTATGTCGCATTTGTGGATAATCTCTTGGCTTGCAACTACGCCTACAAAATACCACCTAGTGAAATCTTCACCTCACCTGAAAGAATCTGGTATCTTCCCCACCATGGCATATACCACCCCAGGAAGCCACAAAGATCCGGGTAGTCTTTGACTGTAGTGCTACCTTTAATGGCTCATCTCTGAATGACAGACTACTGCAGGGTCCTAATCTCACAAACACTCTGATAGGCATCCTTACAAGATTCCGTGCAGAACCAGTGGCGTTTATGGCCGATATAGAGGCAATGTTCTACCAGGTTAAGGTGCCCTTTATATCAACATGACCAGCTCCGTTTCCTGTGGTGGCCTGACGGCGATCTGCAATTGGAACTCGAGGGAATACAGAATGGCAGTCCACATATTCGGTGCTGTATCTTCTCCCAGTATAGCTAACTTTGCTCTCAAAGCTACAGCTGACAAAGCAGAAGAGAAGTATGGAACTGAGGTTGCTGACACAATTAGAAAGAATTTCTATGTGGATGATTGGCTCAAGTCTGCAGCAAATGAAAGGAAAGTTATCCATCTCATCAAGGATGTACAATCAGCATGTGCAGAAGGTGGATTTCGCTTAACTAAGTTTGTATCCAACAGCCGAGATGTTCTTAAATCAATCCCTACAGAAGATCGTGCCAAACAGATTCAAACTTGTAACTTGGATTACGATGAAATACCCATAGAACGGGCACTTGGTCTTCAATGGCATGTCAGCACTGATATGTTTGGCTTCTCAACAGATCTACCTAGCAAGCTGGTGACCAGAAGAGGAATACTATCAACTGTCTCCTCGCTATATGATCCACTTGGTATGGTTTCTCCTGTCATTTTGCCAGCAAAGAAAATTCTACAAGATCTCTGTGTAGACAAAACACTTGGTTGGGATGATGAGATACTACCTGAACTGAACCACAGATGGAAAGAATGGTTGAGTGGTTTACCGCAGCTCAACGATATGAGAATACCTAGATGTCTAAGGCCAGTTGAGTTTGGTCGGATTGTATGTAGACAGTTACATCTATTTTCAGATGCCAGTTCCATTGGTTATGGCTGCGTTGCATACTTGCGTCTACTTGATGAAGGTAAAAACATCAATGTGTCCTTCCTGATGGGCAAGTCAAGGCTGGCGCCAGTAAGAACAGTCACTATCCCTAGGCTTGAACTAACAGCAGCATCAGTATCACTTCAGCTCGGGCAACAACTACTGAACCAGCTCGACATGGAGATTGATGAAGTATCATACTATACTGATTCTACCACAGTCCTTCACTACATCAATAATGAAGCAAAACGCTTCCCAGTGTTTGTGGCAAATCGGGTTCGTTTAATCAGAGACTACTCGCAACCGTCACAGTGGAAGTTCATAGACTCTCGCACCAACCCAGCTGACATTGCCTCAAGAGGCATGAGTATAGGGCAATTCCTTCATGCTGACACTTGGTTTCATGGACCCAAATTCCTCCACGCTCATGAATCAGAATGGCCAGACTGCTCCATTCCAAGTACACCAGCAGAAACAGTCCAAACCACAGACCTACAACCTGAGATGAATCATTGTATGGAGAAGTTGATCTCTCATTATTCCAACTGGTATCGTTTGAAACGCGCTCTGGCTGTCTACATCTTTCTCAGGGATGTACTTCACTCACGGATCAAGCAGAAACACAAGCTTAAGGAGTACCATACATCAACTGACCAACCTTTCACGGTGGGACGACTAGAGGAAGCAGAACTCGTCATTATTAAGTATGTACAACATGTAGCATTTCCTTCCGAATGTGAAAGTCTGTCTGATGCCGAGTGCTGAAGAGTAGTTCCATCTACAAGCTAGATCCCTTCATGGAAGGTGGTGTACTGAGATTGGGCGGCCGCCTTAGCAGAGCGGATATTCAGGCTGACATGATGCACCAAATCTGGCTTCCCCGTAAAAACCATGTGACAAAGCTCATCATTCAGGACATACATGTCAGACTAGGACATGGAGGTAGGAATCATGTCTTGTCCATTCTCCGAGAAAAATACTGGGTGATTAAAGCCAACTCTACGGTCCGCAATATCCTTTCACACTGTGTCACCTGTCGACGAATGAGGACTCCAGTTTGCAATCAGAAAATGGCAGACCTACCAGCCAGCAGAGTAAATCCGTCGCCTCCGTTCACCCACACAGGTATAGATTTCTTTGGGCCACACATGATTAAAGAAGGGAGGAAATATGTCAAAAGGTATGGAGCACTGTTTACCTGTATGGCCAGTAGAGCTATCCACATTGAAACTGCATGTTTACTTGACACTGATTCCTTTATTCAAGCCCTACGACGCTTCACTGCCAGAAGGGGACCAGTCAAACAGATACTCTGTGACAATGGTACAAATTTTGTTGGAGCAGAGAAGGAACTGCGTGAAGCTGTGATGGAGATGGATCAGGATAGAGTGAAAGAGTATCTCTTGAAGCAGCATATTGAGTGGAGATTTAACCCCCTGCCGCCAGTCATATGGGGAGGGAGCTGGGAAAGAATGATTGGCTCAGTTCGCAAGGGTACTTGCTCCTTTGTTGAAAGAGTTTGGCGAGAGGCTAGATGATGAGTCCTACCGGACGCCCTCTGTGAGGTTGAATCAATCATCAACTCCAGACCGTTGACCACCGTATCAGATGACCCTAGTGATCTCAATCCCCTCACCCCTGGTCATCTGCTAATGCTAAAATCTGAAGTGTATTTTCCTCCTCCAGGGCAGTTTCAGAGAGATGACATGTACATGAGACGTAGATGGAGACGGGTACAGTATTTGGCTGGGGTATTCTGGTCACGATGGCGCAAAGAATATCTCCTGACTCTGCATGAACGGCAGAAATGGGCTGTACCCAAACGTAATCTACAAATAGATGATGTTGTACTCATCAAAGACGAGAACTTGCATAGGTCTGAATGGGTGATGGGGCGTGTGATCAGTTGTGAATCTGACAAGTTTGGCTTGGTACGAAGTGTGGAAGTGGAAACTCAGAAGGGTCAGTTGCGCAGACCAGTACATAAACTTGTCTTGTTGCTCGCAAAAGATGAGTGAATGGATGTTCACCAATTTGGTGTGCTGGAGATGGTAAAATATATTGTGAATGATAAATCTGCATAATTTGTAGGTTTTTTGTTAAACAGTAGGTAACTGTTTAAGAGGCCGAGTATGTGAATGCAGATTTTGTTTTCAAGGCTAATTGCAAATTGTTTTTATAATTTTCTTTTCCAAAGGTAGTTTTCTGTCATTTAAATTGTATTTCAATTATATTCTAACAAGTTACCAAAAAGCAAGAAGTAATTTCAGTGGTCTTTCCATGTAATCAGTATTTAATAAGAGCCTAGCAGTAAGTCTAGAGAGGAGCCAGGGCAGTGTGTGTGGTCATGTGACCCAAAGCATGTGCAGTTCATGCAATCCAGCCACATAGCATAAGAGTGGAAGGCCTCAAGGTGTACAGATGTGTGAACAGAGATGGTCTCTGGTGTAATGACAAGAGTGTTGGAACACAAATGTAAGTTTATTTCATGTATTTGAGGTTATCTGTCAATTCTGAAAGGTTGAGTAATGCCTTTTTTTAGTATAGTATTTTATTATGCTTATGGTTATTGAATAGGAATTGGAATTCTAAAGTAATGTTTGCATTTCATTGCAGAAATAATTCTATTCTCAATTCATGTTTCATTTGAATTAGTATTCAGCCAATGTAACTACTAACACAGCAGTAATTATGCCTTAAAGTTATGCTGCTGTAAGTAACTTGTTTCAGAAACTGTTTTATGGTATTGTTTGTCAAAGCATATTTAGTAAGGTATTTTTGTTTCTTTTTAGTTTCTGAACCTCGCCATTTAATGAACCTTGCCATTTAATGAACACTGGTCTATCTAAAGGCTAATGGAAGAGACCAGCTTTAATGTTACCAATTCATGGATTTGTAGTAGTATTGTGCCGACAGTTTCTAACCGTCCCCTTGACATGTGGACTTCAATGTCGTCAAGGTTATATTGCCAACTTGTCACCAGTACAACCAAATGCCACAACGTGAATAAATGAACATGACGAATATGCTCCAGTGAATAAACTTTGTTAAATGGTGCGAGTTTTTCGTATTTGTAGTTCTTGCATCAACAACTAAGGTTTTGGTTACTGCGATTACTGACGAAGAAACTATTAAACAAGAGCCGTATGACACTTTTTGAAACATAGTAGAAATAACAAACTCGACTGAAAGTCAAAAGCTAAAAGCTGGGAGGTGTAAGATTATTGTTGAAAACGGAAAGGGATGTTTAGGAAAAGAAGTCATCCCTTTCGTCATACAGATTTGAGATCTGCTTTTCGCAAAAATCAAGCTGAGATACCATGGTTAATTTGGATTACCTTTCCAAACATAACATACACCAGTCACCCTCTTGTTGTATTTCTACATTAACAGATACACTCTGAATGTAGTTGAACATTTGGACATTTATACACTCGAAAACCAACACCAGTCCTTCCCCGCAAACCGACTAGTCCCAAATATGTAAGTTCATGTCGACAATTCAAAGGGCATGGTAGATTAGACCACTTTACATTGCACGCTTTCAGCTGTGATTCAGTAGTCATGTAAAAGCAGTTATTATGTGTACAATGTGGAGTTAATGTTGAAGTATGTGTGTAGTTATAGAATAGTGTATACAATTTAACCAAAACTCGTGTACAGGAACTTCTGATAGACGTCATTTATACAGGAAGAGAGCTGTTAGACTCTATGGTCTGTTGCTAATTTCCATTCCAAGTCTAGACACCGCCATTAGACTCTGAGTGGAAGTGAGTCATTGTCTCGTGGCATTAACGGCAGCCAGCTACAACAAGGCTAAAATAGACCATAGAATATACCACATGAATAGGTGTAGTTGATTAACAACATTCAAACTTTACACTAAGCCCTAATTTCTTTTAACGGTAATTGTAATAATGATAATATTACATGGCGTCACAATTATACTCATAAATATAATTCAATACTGATGATGATGATGATGATGATGATGATGATGATGATGATGGAGATGATGCCTTTTCTGTAATCTTTTGGTGTTGCTGATTGCATGGAACAAGGAATTCTGGGAATTGAAACCATCAAACGTAGAAACGTTTCACCAGCCTCGATCTTCCCTCAGTCATTTATATAAACAATTATTCTTGGAAATCGTAATGTGTCATTAAGGTGGAGGCTCTTCATGACAGAATTGTAATGTGCACATTTTACACACACGTATTTGTCTGATGATCCTTTTGTGAAGCAGATCAAGACACATGAAGGAAAGAAGGCATTCCGCAGTATATCTGAAAGGATCAAGTACATGTATGTTGGACATAATGTGAATGTTGATGCCTGTATTGTTGATGGTACTCTACTGCTGGACGGCACAGGAATGTCAGCCAAGGAAAGAGCCAAATCAAATAGACAATGGTATCGGGTTTATGCGCAGTGTTGTTATGAGAGTGTGTTTTTTGTTATTTGTAATATCATTGATTAAGTGATAGTTATTATGGGTCACAATGTTTAAAGTTTTGAGTGTGGGTTGTGGCTCGCATCTCGCTTCATATATGTTCCATGGCAGTATCGCTTCAGAGTTGCCTCCCTTGGCAATGTTGTTTATTTACGGCTTTCGTCATGCCGTGGAGTTTTCGTGAATGTTCTGCGTGGATAAAGATACAGCCTAGCTTTACTAGAATGCTCTAGAACTGCGTAAGAGCTATGTAAAGGCTGGTTGTTGTGTTGTTCGTCGGACTTATTACATGACTGGAGTTATACACATCTGTCTGCCGTCATTGGGCTGATACATCTGCCTACCTTCGTCAAGTCTGTCTGTCAACATTTCAAGACCGTGCTTGACTATTCAACTACTGCCATTGTAACCAACCTTCAATCTGTATATCTGTTCTCACCGTGAATGTCAATGTCAATGTTAATATTTGAGATTTGTGACCCAATATTTTAGATTTGTGACTCAATGGCATTGTACTAGAAATCTGTATTGTCATTCATTGTAGCTTGCTCATTGTTTGTTCAATATATTATTGAATATTTTAGACTTGTCTGTGTTCTATGGGGTGACTTGCTGGTTCAAAGGGACTTTTAAACCTTTTGTCTCGGCAAATTTATTAACCGTTACAGTATGCTGAGAAGAACAGCAATATTTGCTTGAAGTCGGATGGCCTAAAAAGTGAAACAGAAGGCTCTGTGTTGCGTCTTATGACTGATTACTTGCCACTCGATGTGTGACTTCTCATTGAGGTAAATGAGGAATGTACAATGAATGTAATGAGATAAAGTCAATCTCAGTGGATTTACAACCTTGGCACGAACACAGTATCCTTAGCGATATGATGGCGAAGCTCGATCGTTTTATTACTGCCATCACAATGTTGTTATTTAGACTCAGAAACCTATCCATGGTACGACCCACAATATGTAGAGGTTGTCATGAGAAATACTAATAAAACAGTTTTTTGTAATAGGCCCGTATACAGCCTCAGATGTATATAGTGTAACAACAAAGTGATTCAGTAAAACATGTCAAACGTACGTATCTCGCTTACGGAAAGGCATGCTTGTATCTAACGTACTAAGTTGTCTGACTCTCCAATGTTCTAGTTGATTAGGTTTGGCACCTTCCATTCTTTGACATTCGAAGATGACCTGGCTTTGCTGTGACTTAGCCCTCCTGACAGTCTGGGTATTGCAGGAGTCTGCAGTGTTGGGCAGTTCTTGGCGGGTTCGTCTAGCTAGTTCTTTCTGGGAGAAGTCACTTAACCGTTTGCTGCTTTATTAATTAAAATTTTGTAAAAATAATGTACAACCCTTGACAGACACTACTAAAACTTCGCTAAAAATCGCCACTTTGAAAGGTAATATGTCAAATTGTGTGCATCTATTAAAATAGCAAAGGACAATAATGTATGAAACCAATGTTTAACGAAAAACAATATTTTAATCCGTTGTCAGTTGACCAATAGTCAGTTAGATTACCGTCAACATGAGATTATCTCACCGAAATCAAAGCGTAAAAAGACTCAATGAAAAGCAGTTTCATTGTCCAGGAGTACAACTCGTATTAGCCCGTATGTGGTCCATGTGATGAAACCACTGGCTGGAACTGTCGCTTCATGGTCCCCAAAAGTGTTGGGATGCTTGCAAAGGTTAGATTGTTCCACTCTTCATGAAGAACATTGTCGAGTTCCTGCAGAGCTACCTAAAGTCCAAGGCTTGGTGAGGGTACATGTGTTTGATAGGGTTTAGGTCTGGTACTCGAGCTGGCCACTCGCGAGGACACTGGTCCCCTTTTCTATTTTAGCATCAAAGTAGTAAGTTATCGTATATGGGGAAGATCCTGATCCGATGGCACCAGCATACGGTTTTACTTACACATTCAGTTGGTAATCCCTGCAGCTCACACCTGTCATCGTGCCGGTTACAGAACACTGAGGTCCTGCGTTACTGATCCAACCCTAAATCAGGATTGAGCCAAGTGGACAGGCGTGCTACGTTGGAATCCTGTGTGTGCCTGCACGGCGATCTATGAAGTCTA